TTTGCATTCACCCTGGAACAGGTGCATTGTTCCTCACGGAATTACCCGAGTGTCCACTTCCCATACTGTGTGAAAATTTGGCGAGAATTTCTTAGGAGTACTAAATTTCTTATGAATAGCCCAGTTAAAATCCATCATTGGATGTTGAGATATGCCGAAGCGGAACAACATTAGACCCAAAGTGAATGAGAAATTTACAGGGGATTCAAAGTCGGAAAAATAATGCAATATTAATATTATTATAATATAATAATATATCTATATAATACATAATAATATATAATATAATATAATGTAACTTTGCGAATAATTTATCTTGATGGAATGCAGTCAAAACATTCGGTATCGTCTTTCTCACTGAACAACAGGTATGACAGCCGGCATGGATGAGGGCATTTGACACATCAATTCATATGTGATGCAGGAGATCATCGGACACTCGGTATCGAAGCCGATAAATCATTTATCTGGTTTCGTACGCGGCCAAATCCTAACTTTAATTTATTTTGATTCACTAACTTATACTTTCTCCCTCGTATTGCGTGACTGAGCCTCTCTTGAATTGCAGTACAGCAACATATCTCTGTATGTTTTGTCTCCACACAAAAAAAAACAAAAAAGTCAAAACAATATGTTTACAAAGAAATGCGACCTTCAAAAAATTACTCGAACCAAAAGGGATAATAGGACTTGTAAGGAAACCTTGGACCTCATCATCCAAATGGCAAGAGAGAATGATTTGAAAACATTCAACCGTGATTAATTGCTAAGCTCCGAACTATCAGTGCATCATAACAGGTTTGTTTCTGCTGGGGTTTGAATAGTAAACATCTTGGATTTATTACTCAAACTGAGAAGAGATAACGGTTTCAACTTCTTGTATAACCTAGAAACTGAATTGTCCCGTGTTTACTGTAGTTTACTGCGTGAAAAAAATAGATTGGGAAGGTCTTGAAAGGAACAAAAACTATATCAGACCACGTGGTTCCACCTGGAGTGAGGTGAGCTATGACATGTTTGAGAACGGTGAATTATTGTAGCAACGGCGCTGATTTCAAACGGATTCACCGATCATACGAGTGCAGATAAGTTTAGATTTCCTGATTAGGATTAGTGTCGAAGATTTTTGAAAGAATGGACACTGGATTAGGCAAAAGTGGAAATCGTTTAAGAGTCCCGTTCTGCCATTCTGGGTGCTGTGAAGAATGAGTGGAAAGAGCAGGGCTTCCACCTTACCGCTTGACTAACGTCATTTCTAGCCTCGTTATGTTCCGTAAGATTTGTATTCGGTTGGGGTGTGTGTGTGGTATCTGCTCAAAGTCGATGAATATAACCAGTTTGTTCCACTTTCCATTGGTAAAAGGATAGAATTAATTGGAAAGGTTCACGGCAGGGTCACCGATATGTACATGAAATAATCACCAAGAAAATGAGGGAGTTGTCCTATCATATCGCATCTATCCGCCCACTGCCGGGAGGCTAAATATAGACATCCGGCGTGTCTGAAACGTCAGCACGGCAAACATATATGGTGGGTGTGAGAAGTGTGGAAATTGGACTGAAGGTGAGAAACTAAGTGTAACACGTTACTACGGGGCATGTAAATAAGTAGATACAGATGGAAAAATTTTGACAATTTCCGTTTTCAAAGGAGATGGGAGCACAGGGTTGTCAGGAAATATTATCCACCTAGATTTAAAAGCACATCAAAACCTAGTTTAGTATTCTTGCCCAACAGGAATTTGAAAAAGACGCTGAGTCGGAACGGAAATATCAGAAAGCATTTCCGTTGTTGTAAGGTTGGAAGCGACATCAGTACTTACCTTGTCGAAGCAACTGCCTCAAATTTGTAACTAATCACGTGACTAATGTTATTTTGCTTTTGTAGGTAGGCAAAATTTGCAAAAAAAATCCGTGACCACAAAATGCTCACACTACCCGCAATAATAATAAGTTTGTGTGTAGAAGTTGACAAATATCCCTCGTTACTTAGACACTTTGAGGATAAATACAAGTATCAAACCTCAAATTCATGGGGTATTACTTTTTCAGCCCAACAAATGCACGAAGATACGGTTGATCAGTGGTCTTGAAACTCACACCTTTTTGGAACATCTTTGGGGGTTATCCGCGGTGTAGCAAAGCAATCACACTAGTGAAAAGAAAAAGGCCTTCGCTGCGGAGTTAATCGTCAGAAAATACCAACTGACCAGGTACAGATTACTGGACAGAAAGCAAAACTCTCATATGCATCTTAATTACAAAAACTGAACATCCATCTTCTCTTGCACGCGTCTTCCTGAACTATCCTAGATAAATTATTGAGTTTTGCTCAAGTCCAAGCAAATGCTTCAAAGCGGGTCCACAAATCCGCAATAGATTTCCCTTTTCAAGCGAATTTACAAGAAAAAATCTACTACTCACATGCTTCCCCCATCAGTAGTATCACCGTTACGCTAGTTTATCCGTTTATACGACTTTTATTATCGAGTCGAATTGATTTTTTCGATTGTTTTTAAATGTACATAAATGTGCATTTGATTGGCTTTCCAAAGCCCCCCCCCCACTGGCCAGGCTTGCTTCTGAGACCGCGCAGACTGATTTATGAGACTGCACATAGAATACCGAAGTTCGCTAACGAATATACCCCACCTCCTGAGTTAAAAACGATCAAATTGGGTTGATTTAAGAGTGTGCGCCCGGGGATGAAGTTGTTGCGCCAACGATTCGATCAATGAAAAGACATTGTGCAAGAATGGGCGGAAATGGTCGATATGATGGAATTGGTGGACTAACCTGGATGCTTTCAAAGGAGTGACTCATCATTGCGATTAGCATATTGACCAACACAATGATGATGATCCCGTGGTAAACAGCAAAAAGCAACATGCCCACACCATCGACAATTTTTGTGGAATCGGCTTTGTCGATATCCTCAATGGTGTGCGGGACTCCACCATCACCTGGTAATACATCTGCCAAGGAACAATGAGGGGGAAAATGCCAAAACTTTGGTGAAGCATGGTTTTGAAAATGGAATTTGGCAAACTTGCACGGCTTTTCAATTGTTTAACAAAAACATTATCTATTCATCAGGGTCGGAACTGAGAGGTTGCATGATCATGGCTGAAACACCGGTGAAAGGAGAAACCGAGGATGAATTCCTGATTAAAACTTGAAAATATACACAATGACTTTGTCAAAATCAATGGATTACTTGGTCAACGATTCGCTCTTGAAGCTGATTCGACAAACGCCACACCAAAAGTAAAATATTATTTTCAGAATGCGCCCAATCAACCGAAGTGAAGTGAACTCAATGAACTTTTCGGGCTTCCCACAAAGCAGACTGTTTGATGATAACAGAAAAAACGATTGCCCGAAATGCACACACGAAATGCACAAACCTAGTATCGCCGATAACGAATGAACGTCTACCAAGTTTCCAAGGATTCAATACGTTTCCTTGAATGGCTTCTTTACAAAAAAATCTCTCAGTTATTCAAAACCGCATTTGGCAGTGGCCGGACCATGTCACAGTCTCAGCATTACTTGTGGTAACTTCGAAAGCTGGAGTGTGACTACGGAAACCGGCTTCATCCTCGAGTTTTAGACCCCACAAGTTCCATGTTTTCGAAGACTACAGAGGAATAAAATAGCTTGAGAGATGCTAGATATAGTCATCATTCGCAAATTGCATCTCCAACTTGTGAGCCTAGATTGGTTTTCACGGACAGTAAGAAATCCTGGTTGGTAGTCATCAAGTCAAATACAGAATCGGCTCTAAAGGTGTATCCGTGTCAACGGCAATATGGACACTTCTGGGTGAAAAACAACTAGGATCGATTTGAGAATCAGTCAAATATTCAAAGCCAGTAAATAGCTCTGGACGTTTCGGTCACATAGCTGGAATGACGAGGTGTTACCTGGGCGTTGCTCCTGCGCCCGCTTCAACTCTGTATTATCGATGTGTTTGTACAGTCAGAATAGTTTGGTTTACAGTCTCGTTTCTGTGCGTATCTTTGGCTCTTCCACTTGTGAGATGTTCACCAATTCATCAATAATGCTAACCCTACCGAGAGGATGAAATCTCTGTTGAACAGTACGAAATCATAAACTATGACCGAAGCCTGGCTGATTTCTAGCAGCCAGAATGTAGCTGAAAATATTTTTCCGTTCTTGTGGGGGCCGGTGACTTTTTCAATCTGGAAGTCAGATACTGAATTTCACTCAGTTAGAGGTTTACGATGCACATGGTAGGACAAGCAGTCTAATGCCTATTTTGTTTTACAATCAGTTTCAAAAATAAATGCACGTACGGATTGCGACACTTTTTAAATGCTGGCGGAATCAGTCTCCAGTTAGAACGACAGCAGTCCAAAAAATCTAACCTTTGCTGGTACCTCATTCTGAAAGAGATTAGCTCTTAGATCAAAACCAACCTAGCCGGCTTTCTAGCAACCCATTTTTTTCGATTTTACTTGCTTAACGGTATCGACAAACGTGAAGGTTTTGGTACTGGCTTTTCCCATCTCTCGCCCTTCAAACGTTCCGCAGACAACGGATTATGCATTAGCGCAACTTATGACACGTATTTCAAGAAAGACGTAACTCAAAGGTGGAAATTCTAAAACCTGTTGTAACAGAGGTTATATCAGCTTATTTTGTAAGCGCTGACTTACTAAATGCGAAATGTAAACTGTATGCAGCTGAAAACTTGGTCGATTTAAATGAAGGCACTGAACAGACGAAAGTCTTTTTGATTAGACATCCATTTATCCCGTTCAGCATAGTAGCCTAAGTAAACTATGTGAAACAATCTCCAATGAGAGAAAGGTTCAAATCTGTCTGTCTAGCTCCGTCTGCTCACTTTAGAACAAAATGTAACCCTAAATGTACCAAACCATTTTTGTGTGCTATTCCCAACGACAGATTAAAGGCTCAAATAAAAGCTAAGTTGGTGGATTTATCTCAGCTGGGTTTCCCTTACGTAGTCACCTTGGACTCAAAGTATGTATGACGAGGAAGCCATACCGCAGTCGTGTAATTATTAAAGGACATTTTATTAGTACTTCTTGCTTGTGTGAAAGTGAAACACAGATTGTTTGGCTATATTGTGGCTGCAGGTGAACCAGCCCTAAGTGCTGGTGGAACACAGTTACCCGTTTGCAAGGCAGCTGAACTCTTCCTAGTCCCTTCCAGGACAGCTGTGCCCATCCGCGGCAGATTTATCACGTTTACTACACACTCATGAAGGAAACTACTCGAAACTACTCATCGACAGCCCACGACCGGTTTCACCTATTTGTGGCTAATCAGGTAGGCGCAGTCCCCGAGTTTTCACCAAGCTTATGATCTACCTGAACCCAAATTGCACTGTTTTCGAGAAATGCGCTCATTTGCAAATCAATTTGGTTTTCACGGGAGACTCAATTGAATCCCTCGTTTATGATATTCCACAGCTAAATGTGCTGCACACAGGCCGCCTCATGATTCATTTGGCACAATATTCGAGATATCCAGATATATTACACATTATCTGTGTACTTGCCACCTGGCTAGTCAAATTTTTAATGGGCCCCAGAATGAATCGAATGTATTGGGGCAACTTTCGCTTATGCTTGTCTACCAACTTAAACGGAGAGAAGCCGCGCGCAATGCCCGTAACTGTCCGCCACACAACCTATTCCGCCATATCCAGGTATTGTAAGCTCAGAGAGGAATTCAATGCGGTTGCGACTACGATAGAAATCGAGGCGCTGTGGAATGGAATAACACGTGGAGAGTCAAATAAATAGGCAGAAAAAAGTTAGCAGTTAACAGGTCCTTGGGAACTAGCAAGATTCAGAATGCTTTCCCAACTTTTGTCTATAATCAACTAGACGACCAGGTTGATTATTTCAACCAAAATGCAGCTATTTTTATTGCAATTGTGTGATAGAACCGCGGATTATGAAGACAAATCAAACATCCCGTGAAATGCAAATGTACCTGGGTGGATTCAAGCTCAGCCTCTTCTTAGCCAGTTTCATCCAGTCATTTGAACCTAACCGGTAGGACAAAATGGCCTGAAACAGCTGTAATAATTTGCTAACAATATGTAATATGAGTTTGTCCCAAACAAGGGGATGTCGCCCACCTGTTACTGAGCCCTAGTAAAGGAGATCGGGCGGTTTTATCAGTTCTAAGAGTAGTATGTTCCCTTAAAAATTACTATCATCTCTCCAAAACATTTTGCTGGCCGTGAATGTGATAGCCTCACAAGTGGTAAGCTGTCAGTCCACGAAAGGCTCGAAAACTGTAGAAAACCAGTCGTCCCATTGCTGCTCGCAATATCCGGACCTCGGAGAAACAAACGAGATCCGGACTGGATGGGAGCCAACATTACCAACACAGGTTACCCTAAATCACTCCAATCCAGAAGCTCCCTTAACTTGCGATGTCCGTTCGATTATTTTGATACTGACGTTATTTTAAACACGAATTCTCAGGTAGTAAACTTAATCTTTCCTCTGCGCTTCTGTAAAAGCTTACAAGTGTACGTGCAAAAATTGGTACCCGACAATGCACTTCGATTATCCCTGAAGGAACCCTGAAGGACCAATAAATCTTGCAATCGACGACAACCCTATCGACACAGGCTATGCAGGACAAACGGAATCTACAGAACCCTGAAGACCAATAAATCTTGCAATCCACGACAACCCTATCGACACAGGCTACGCAGGACAAACGGAATCTACAGACAATTGGAAAAAAGACAATCTCCGTAGTTCATGCCGGGAAAATGAGGCAGCATTTACCGGTTCGTAGCCGTTTGCTAGTCTGGGGTTGTGGATAATTCTACGTGTCTCACCAATAGCGTTATCTGTGATAAATCTGTAGAGGTCACTCATCAGATCACGTCTCAAAAACACTCAAACCACGTGACAATTCCTGTCCCACTTGCAACCTTAGCCGACCACGTGTACACTACAAATTCTCATCCATTTTTGTTTACGTGGCTACCAACTGCGTCACGTGCCAAACTTATGAACCCCACTACATCAGGTCAAGTTGTATTCATGTTCGTGCAAGCATCAAGCACGAAGGGACACCCCTCTCTTCACACTGCACACAATGCACAGGCATACAATTCGCTCCAACACACACACACAGGACGGGAAGTCAATCGAGCTCCACAAGGCTCCACGGACGACCGCAGAACACGTGTAGCAGCTATACTGCAGAGAGGACACGTCCCGCGTCGGGAACTTCACTCTGGAACTCAACAGTTGTCCTCAAACGATAAGTCATATTTTGGCTTATTCCACTTTTCGCATCGTGTCAATTTGATCAATACTATCAATACTAACAATACTATTGTATTTACCATCACCATTCTGATAAAACGGAAATTTGTTAGTGCTTGTTACCTTCTGATAATCAACTTAATTACGTCACAACTAGAGCACTAACAAATCTCTATCAAGTGGGTTACTCTGACCGGATTTACAAGCTCGAATCATGTTCGCAAGTGGAAATCATCGGCGTGCTCCAAAAGAAATATCGCGGCTCACATGTTCCGGGTTTCAGTAAGGTTATGTTGTTGGGCGTTGACGACATGTGGCCTGTGTGGGCGAAGGATCCGATGTGTATACGAGTATTCAGATGTGCAACCGAAAGTTTTAGAGGAGTTGTACCAAAGTGAAGTTCCTTTTCCTGAAATCCGTCGAGAACTCTTTACGAAGAATCTCCGCATGTTCAGTTTAACTTATAATGTGGTCGGTTGTTCAGGTATACCGTGACAACTTTTACACGTGATAATGAGTCTCTGCAACACTGCATTTCAGCTCAACCACTTCTGATGGGCCGTTTTCTGTCATGACTTGATTCACCTACGACTGAACTATTTAGCCTAGATCACCTCTCATAATTCTGGTTCTACTTCTAATCTTTGACGTCTACCTAAATTCGTTGATTGGGCAATCGTTTGGGCACATTCTTCCAGCCTCTAACTACTGAATTGTTGCTCGTCACCGACAAATAGCCAAGTTCCCCCCCCTCCAGCAAGCAATCCGCAAGGACATTTGGACAAGCGATATGGTGCGATGACTCTTCAATCTCGTGTCCCGGTCCCGCCACAGTGAAAATTTTGTCATTCACATAGGGATTTCTTGTTAAGTGTTACACGGTAGTTTTGAAATCTTTCGTCCCTTGCCAATCAATGACCAATTATACCGCCTGGTCACACATGACTTCGTACGGATGTAGGTAAATATTGGCCATGCATATCTGCACTACCCACAAAAATCTAGGGGTGATGATAAATCACACAACGTCTGGTGCCATCAAAAGCCGAAGTAAACTGTTATCCTACTTCTGACAACAGGATAGTCCAAGTCTTTGAATCGGGCCTATGACTCTAATTTGATCTGCTTAATTCAGGAAACGTTTATTCCGTTTTTTATTCGAATAAAGCAGCTCTAAAAGGTACATTCCTGACCCATGTATAATGACTGCGCGAGTGTCCCAACTTTGCTGGCTCTTTACTGACTACAACCTATACTTTCCCCCTGCCGTTCACCCAATCAGCAGCAATCTGGATGAATCGGTTACGGTCACGCAAATGTTTCACTGTCGTGGCGTTGTTTATCAGTTTGCAAGCGCGCACTACCCACAAAAATCTAGGGGTGATGATAAGAAATCGTATTGGTTGCAGTTTCAAACCGACGGTTATGACTGAGAGAGCAAAATAAAAGAACCAGGCGTCGACAACTAAACCTAGAAATTCAGAATAGCGCGTCATATATGAAATTAATGAACTTTTTGAGTTTGTATGAGTACCCACAGGGCACAAACATGTTAGCGTACAAATGACCCCGTAACCACTCTTTGCCCAGATGCGTGTCCCTTCTTTAGATCACGAATTTAGCACCTAAACGAATGGAAATGAAGAATGCTCACTTGACTTTTTATTCTTTTCCTCGATGTTTGTCTTACAAGTTTCCCCATTTGAAGTTTCCATCTACATAATTACACTCCATCATATGTAGGTCGATGGATTTTCAGCAACCTTATGAGTAGTATATTACAAATGTAGGTTCCAAGGACATAAGTGAACTCAAAGTAGTATTTGTGGGCCCACTATAGGGCATGGTAAATCAGTGGGTTCACAGGCAGTACAGCGAGTAAACTGAAGTCCTTACAGCATTTGTATGTCAGGTGGACTTCAGTGCAATCAAGTAGACAAAAAATATGTGGTCGTGTGTGTGACGCGCATCGAACAGGACGAAAAGGTAACAAGCCTGTGAACTAAACACTGTGGCCACAAATAGTGAGGAGCTTTGAATGCAAACTGAATGTCAGATGAACTGAAATGTGTCAAGTAGAGGAATGAAGCAGTGTACACAAATCACCCTGTCGCAAGAAAGCCATGTCATCTGGTGCATAATTTCCAGAAACCAATATGAGATTGATCAACCGGATGAAAGTGCATTTTCACTAAAATATCACAATTTCCCTTCGTATGACGTATGCAGGACGCATAAAGCCATATGCATAAAGCCTAGTTGGCACGCATATTTTGTATAAGCGTGTGGGAAACTAGACTGTTTTCTGTAAAAAAAAACTCTCCCATATTCCAAAAGTGCAAACTTTTTGAGTTGCGAACGATACGTATGGAAAGAATATGTAATGCGTCACCTTCCGGAAAACTGTCTGGCTTTGGAATGTGGATGACCAATTTCATAACATGTGCACGAGTTCGGTGGCTACTCAACCACTCGATCAAATGGAAACTCAGTCAATATTGGACAGTAATTTCTCTGTTGAGGATATTTAAACTTTTCGCCACATGTCTCTCTCCACGGTGGTTTGTATGGTTTGGATAGAGAATTTGAGCTAAAATTCATCAGTTGAGACCAATATTGACCAGTGTCATGTATTTTCAATGAATTCCGTGACAAGTGATTCAATATTGTTTTGCGCTCCGCCACGGTAGAGAGAAAGAGCACCTTTTTAGCTATTCTCCACAACGAGAGCGACAATTATCCACACGCGGCCGATCAAGATGGAAATAAGTATTTAAGTAATATGTCTGCTGTCTTCACGGTTCGACAGAACTTGAAAATGGACTTACCTAATGCGTTATATACCACGTAGTTTTTTTTATTTCAATTTACACATCTTCAGGCATAGAAAAGAAGCTGAAGAGCAAAATATCTCATCTAAATTCCCGGGTTGACTGTTACTATTTGTCACGTGGTTACCTTATTGCGAAATATGCTTCATAGTTAGGAGATTTTTGCGCAAAAATGCAAAACAACTTTACATTTTTATTTCTGAACTGAAGTTGGGTTCTAGTGACCATGAGTGTGACCCTGTGGATGAATACTTAACCGTTCTCAATAGACGTGATAAACTGCAGTCAGGAAATAGTAGACAAAGATACATTCAGTTCATGGGGCCAAAACACGTCGTTTACTAAATGTTTATTGAAGGATCGCGGGCATAGCCCGGTCAATAATTAGAGTGCAGTTGTGCTACAGAGTTACCAAACGACTGAATGAAATAGATAGAGTTACTGCACTACTGATAAGGTTGCTGAAAATATTTCGGTTTCACCCTTCTTGGGGCCGGCTCATCAAGTAGGCGAATTCCCCGAGTTTCCGTCAACCTTATGTTCTACTTGAAACCAAATTGCACGAAACTAGCGAAATACACTGATTTACAAACAAATTTGGTTTTGCGAGAGACTCACGAGGATTTCAGCTGAATCTCTCGTTTGTGATGACTCCAGACAATTGAATGCGCTGCACCATACCACCTCATGTTTCCGTTGCTATGATATTCGACTTATCGCGATACATGTATATTCGTAATACACTACTCATAAGGTTGTTGAAAATTCTCCGACAGCCCACTTTTTCCGATAAATACTTAACAGCTGAGGGGCAAGTGTGTTCTCATTGATGACGGACCCGACCCACTTAGTCCATATGTACTTTATTAATCGTATCCATGCACAATAAATTTCCAATGGTTAGCTTCGCCAGCGTCATTAGTGTGCTCTTTTTTCAACTAGTGTGTCAAGCCGAAGGTTGATGTCACTCCTGGTAGCGGGATGGTGTTGCTCTTCGTGATCCGTATTTGCCTTGATCGAAATCGCTTGCACACTCACTTGGGCACTAATTCGAGCAATATCACTTATTCAGACTCTCTTACATGTACCCTATCGCTGTGGTTAATTATCAAAGGCGTAGACGAACCTCAAGAAAGATTAACTACTGCATCGGAATGGACGGTCTCATTTCTGTGGGAGTTCAAACATTTACCGCGAAGCAGTTGTAAGCATTTTTTGTCAAAAAGTCTCCCAACATCCACACAGATTTCTATTTTTCTCTTTCAGTAATGCATTAACCGGGTAATTCAAACAAATCACACAGGCGGCAAAAGATTCGTTCTGCATTGGGCGCCACTTTTTAACCAGAATTGTAGCTGATTCTACCCCACTGTGTTCTCTCAATGTGCGTAAACAATTGCTAAAACTCAGGTCACAAATTTCAGACTCTGAAATTCCAATCCTAGTGAATGTCAAAAACATGATTCTGTTTTATTGCAATACGCCCACGACTGCCACATAAGACAGTTGAACAACCAGGAAAAATTACCTGAAGTTTCCGTAGTCCCTTAGTCTCCGGCTGTCAGGCTGTTCATTATGTATGCATTTCGAATGGGAAACCTACTAATTTCATTCGAACGGGTTACGCTACAGTCTCGTCAAATAACGATCCCTCCGAGCTGACAGTACTTAGTTGATATGTGTTCCCACTCGTAACTTTTACACACTTTGTAGATCAAACGGACAGTCAATGACTACCTATGCCTATTCAAACCGGCGAGCTGGATGGTATTGATTTTTCCCGATATGAGTACAGTTTTCAGTTATTAAAAAGACTCAAGTTGCGTGTGCGGTAAGTAAGAAGCTTGACGCAGCACTTTGAAACGATGGGGAAATTTCGAAACACGAAACGAGCATATAAAATGCACAACCGCTTCAGGCAAGGGGAAAGACATCACACAACGCTCACCACACATCCAAAGGAGTGAAGTCAATATGTTGTTTTCCCCTCCGAGAAACAGCATTTAAATGTTATGATGAGCAAATAGACCACCAAGTAGTTATTCAATGAATCTCTCCAAAGGCGAGAGACCGAGGAACCATCCACCCACTTGCAATATGCAAATTCATAGTAAAACTCGATTTCTCATGGTGGTTCACCGCTCATCAAAACATCTACTCTGAACAGAACGTCGGCCACAAAACGTCAAGATATTTGATTGGTACGACGGGCACGGTATCTTCAGTACCAGCCTATCTTTCAAAGCTGGCACGCCTCAAGTATTAGGTAATTCATCTTGTCATAAAGGAAACTATTCACAAGGTTGCTGAAAACTCTTAGACAGCCCTCGACTAGTTTCACCCTTTTTGGGACTGATCAGATGGGCACAGTCCTTGAGTTTCCGTCAACCTTATGTTGAAGAATATCATAAGCGAAATCATGAAGCGGTTTGTGTGCAGCACATTCAGTTGCAGAATATCATAAACGAGAGATTCATTTGAGTCTCTCATGAAAAAAAGACTGATTTGTAAATGAGTGTATTTGTCGAAAAAATTCATCTTCCATATAACCACATTTGTCGTGAAGTTGACGATAAATGTTTCCGCAGTTTGGATTACACATTTTTTAAACACTGGCCGCTCTTTTTTGTCTTTTGTGATTGACATCTGGTCATATTAGTTGATTAAAAGATCCACACCTAATTAGAAGTGGAATCTAATAACCCAACTTGTGACAGTTTTTTTGCTTCAGAATAGCGTCCACATTTCATCCGGTTTCAATGACTGCTTTCATGTCGGAAATGTGGAACCTTTTTCGCAGTGGCCCAGTTCAGCCTCGTTTCCCTAGACCCAAAGTACCGAGTTGATAGGGCAAGGACACGTTTGTTTTTAAATAAATGGGCAAAATGTCAAACCTCCTAGAACCCCCGGAAAAGTCTAGGGATTTGATCCCAACTCCAAGCTGACGACAGGACATCCTGTTTCTCACTGGCTATGGGGAGTCAGAACATAAAGAAGCGAAGTTTAACTCTACAGGTGACCGCAAGTGCGTGATGACATTGGCCAGTGAACTCCACTAAGGGGTGTCGCAAGCCTGGGTCACAAGATCCTATTTTCTAGGGAACGTTCCGAACCGTTATTTTTACTCCACCTACTCTATTGTTCAAGGACTAGTTTCATCGTTCTCAGGATAGAAATTTAGTTTAATTTTATCCAACTTTTCTCAAACCTCGGCAATCAATCAACCTGTGAACAACAATACTGGAGAATAGTTTGTTTTCTGCTCGTAGCACTCTGATCCGACAAGGACTTTCACACAAAAACTTTCTGAGGACCAAACACACCAACAAGTCATCCTATTTTGCAGATTCAAAACGGCTTTTTGTGGAATCGCCAAATTATTCAGTGGGGCTTGTGAAATTAATGGAAAGGTGTAAGGTTAAAACGGACCTAGCCAGGTGTGTTTTAACTGTGAGGAGATTGATGCTTGTGAGTTATGGTGAAGATACTTCCACCCATTCTCATCGGATCGGGGAATTCCGATAAGATAAATGAGCCCAGCTGCCTGTTGAACGGGGTAAGCTGAATGGCTCGGCGTCAGGCCATGTGGTACTGATGAAAAGCTGATTGACAAGCTAGGGTGCACAAGAAGTATCATTACTTCGGGCTCTCCGCATGATAGCCACTTGATCCGGATAAGCCCAGGACCTGTTCGCAGTTGATAGCCTCCAAGTAACACGTTAGAAAATGATGCCGTTAGGCCTGCAACTGAAGAAGTCGCAATGAAGAAGCGATACTTTACGTCCTATCGTCTGAAGCCGCTTTTTTGGACTCATTCGTCCAATTCAAGCGTTCACACCACCTACCAAGATAAGTTATATCCTTCCCTCGGATATAAGCAAATGACAAAATTTGTCTTATTCAAGGTGGGAACTACAGTGTGCAGAGACGCATACTGATGGAGAAGACAAACACGCACGATTAACCATATCCGACTGCGTTTGTCCAATTTAAGTCAAGTGATTCTACAGCTTCGGGCGACTGTTCGTGGGACCTACATGGGATCATATATCTGGCATTTTTTTCAAGTTTTTCAGTCTATTTTTCTGACAAAACCAGATGAAACGATTACATGGACCGGTGTACCGGTTGAAGTGTTTGGAGGGTTGGCGATGTGAGAGCTTCCAAGTCAGACTAAACACTATGGTCGCCCAGAAAATGGGCAAAACTCAATAGTCAAACCCATCTAGCTGTGTAGGGCATATGGATTAATGTGCAGACATTTCACACGAGCCCTGCACTTAGCCTCGCCAAGCTCTGTGGTTGACTTGTTGGTTTGGTTGGTGGGCATCTAATCAGCGGTCAGACTGTCCTGTTTTCAGACAGATCTCAACCAGACTGTTTACTTTCTCAGAAGCAGCGGTTCTGCTTCTATAAATCTGGGCACATTTTTTGTCTGGAAATCATTTTACTACTTTCACGCTTCCAACCCCAAAGCAGACTTGATCTATGTTTGCTTACGTAAATAAAGTATGCTTCTTCAAGTCTTTCAATTGTGTGATTAAACCTGAAGTTTCTGGGCGGTGCAGTCCGCCGGGTCACTTAAGTCTGATAACCATGTAACGCGACAGGTTATCTTAAACTCAACACCAACGTATGAAGAAATAATAGGTCTAGCTTCTTCATTTCATGACTGAAGGAGCAACAGAGGTCACAAAAATCCACATACTAGTTTCATCAAACCTCAGTTTGAATGACAATAACAGTGTGCATTGATTTTTGGCAACCAGCGACTGATCAAGCACATCCAAATGTGTGCTGGTCGTACACAAACGATATCCTTTCACGGGGCCGTCCTTATAACCATTTCGGTGCCAGATGTGCTCCTTTCCAGTACACAAACGATGCTTTTTAGTTTACTCTACGTACGTATGGTGGTGGGTTTGAATGAAACCAGTCAATTCCATATTCATCGTTCAACCGGACGTACGGTCTGTTTTTTTTTACACGTCACGCTTAACATCCACTCGCTATCATGGTGTGATCCGACAAATTTTCGAAATGCAGGCCTCCCACCATATAGGTAGCACCTGTTATCAACATCTTATAATCTACACCCATTTTTCTGTCCGAAGGAAATGCCGATAGAAAAAGAGGGTGATGTGGGTGGACACTGATAAAAAATCTGTACATTTGTCAGATTGCTAGACGTTGATTTTCAGGAGTAAGTCCAAACAATCAGATTAGTCTAGCGCAGTACGAAATATCCTTTGGTGTAAGAACATACCGGGCTTCTTGATCGGAAGATTTGTGATACTGATTTGCGAAAACATGGACCAGAACAAACTTTTGAGCGTTTGTGATAATCTGGAATGGAGAAAGGTGGATATGTTTCAAAATACACGCATCAAGATGATGGATTCATCGCTATAGTAAAAGAAATTCTGCTTTGGGCTGAAGAATTTCGGATTGAAATTTATAGACAGCCACATAAAGAGAGCTTTCTAGTCAGGAGTTTATGGGAAGTGACCAAGCATGTGGATTCGTTCAACTGTCTTTTTACAATCAGTTTGCTGTGGCAACAGTCATCTGTCAGTAACTTCGTCTGGAATGTAATGGCAGCTACTTTGATCGATGCTTCCTAGAGGTTCCTCTGTCTGAAATTAATCCATGCTTTCTGTCAAAGACGTTTCTTACGGTGCAGCCATTGTTCTCATTCAACTTGCCTTCAACAGTACCATGGTAAATACTGAAATACAATGAGCTCTTTGATGGATGTCTTCCATGGTTTTGGTCCCAATATGTGTTCCTTAATGTGCCTTTCGCACCCATCTTTCGTCATCATTAGAAGTGTTAATCTGTATGTTAGTCTTACGGGTACACCAGTACACACAAATGTGTGATTATGACAGTAGCCTAGTGCACTTTGGAACCTTATTTTTCATCTCCGTTGTCTCTCCATAGCCCCCGTTATCGTCATCGGTACTGGAAGCAATATTTGGTCGGCATCCTGAACAGACCTATCAATCCATAATGACTGATCCAGTAGATGTCTAGGCACGTGTAAGCTGCCAGTGTAAGCCTAATCGAATAATATGGGCAGGCAAGCCTATAGAGGCGTCCTCAGTGCCATGAGCCGGCCTAAGAATGACGGCGCTACACCGAGGACCAGCGCAAGGGTGTTTTACACCGAGGCGTTTATGTTATCAGTCAAGTCCTCAGAGGTGCAGCCCGATGGTGCTGTTACTCGGATAAGCTGCCATAACATTCCTTTATAGAGCGGCATTTACTGCCCCATTTAGGTGGGAGCGTTTAGTCAGACAGTCTTCTGTTGTTCGAACCACAACTGTCGCTGTCAAATCGTGTTACGACAATAGAATGGGAGGCTTCGTAGTAAATGCCCCGTATCGTTCGGGAGGGTGACCAAGCACAAAGTGCGTACCCATGGGATAGCAACGCGACAAACACACATTCGAGCATCATACCGTATTAAGATATCACCGAAGGGAAATACACCAATTTGCAACTCAATTTTGTTTTCACCAGAGACTCAACTCAAACTCTCGTTTATGATATTCTACAACTGAATGTGCTGCACACAGGCCACCTCATGATTCAGTTGGCACGATATTCGAGATATCGCATAATATATTTTCATAAAGGAAACTACTCACATTGTTGCTGAAAACTCTTCGACAGCCCACGACCGGTTTCGCCCTTCTTGAGCCCCAAGAGGGGCGAAACCGGTCGTGGGCTGTCGAAGAGTTTTCGGCAACCTTGTGAGTAGATTCCTTTGTGAAAATATATTACGATATCCCGAAAATCGTACCAACTTGAACGTGAGGCGGCCTTTACACAGCACGTTCAGTTGAAGAACATCATAAACGAGAGATTCGCTTGAGACTCTCGTAAAAACCAAATCGATCTGCAAATGAGTGTATTCGTCGTAAGAATTTGATTAGTTTTGGTACAGGTCTGTCTCTTTGTCCGCACATGTGCATCATCATAGTGGGATTTTCAGATGTTGTATGGTCACATTAGACGTGCTAAAATTTCCCCACATGAGACGCGTTCACATTCGCAACTGGTACATTTTCCGTCTTGTAGTTGCAAACGTCGGGAAATGTAATACAAACCTTTCTGCTTATCAGGGCCATGCGAAACGTTTTTAAAAATACAATCACGAGTACACGCACCACGTAAAGCTTCATCCTTGGCCAGTGATGCACAGCGATTTCATGAATTGGAATGCTGAAAATTTGTAATCAGAATCAGTTTGTTTGTTGTCGATGTTACAATACTTCGGTCTACCTGCAGATTTGTATGCTTGACTTTCTGAGAATTAACAGTTTATGGACTTCGCCTTCCAGTCACTATCTTCAGAGGTGGGTGTGTCACTTGTTTTTGGGTATTTTCGTGGTAATTCCTCTACTTCTTGTGAATATTTATCGTCAAAATACAACGTAGTGGGAGAAGTTTCTGTAATCCGACGTTTCGGTTGCCCTGGGTAGCTAATACAACATCCTGTGTCCATTCGTGCTCCATTACTGCAGAATTCTCACGTTGCCGGATGAGCGTTATGAACCTGTTGGTCGATATAAAGGTTCAAATACCGAGAGAATGAAGACAGTATTTGAAATGTGAGAGCTCAGACAGAAGGAAAAATTCAACAGATTTCAACAGGGAATAGACGCTTCCAGGAGAAGTTGTAACCAGGCCATTTCACCTGAAATGGGAGGTCAAACAAGCCTGTATGCACTCTGTTCACAATGAGATGCAACTGTCAAAGAGACGCGTGAATGTCAACCCTATCTGGAAACCACTAACAATCCGTGAAGTATTTCCGGCCACAGAGACCGTATTCTCGGAGCTTCGAGTAGAACAATCAGAAGAAACCCGATTGCTGATTTGCCTAAATCTCAAAGACTAGCGACCAATTTGAAGTGAAGTTTTGCGGGAGGAATTAGTCATTGAAGAGGGACAGGTCCATCCACATCACCAAAGCGGACAAAGGTAACCTAATGGTTGTCATGAATCGAAAAACTCTGAGGACAGAGTCGTCGTTATGAGAAGATGGAACAGCAGACAGAAAGTCCAAATCTCAACAGGATCAAAATTCAAGCTCGGTCAGACACGGTGATATTCACTTGGGCCGAAATCCATTTGGCCCGGAAGTTTCTATGGATTGACAAAAATACACAAACCAGGTAACCCTATACGTTCCATCTTGGACCATACCACTTGCACAAGTTACAGCTTATCCAAATACTTAAGCAGTTTGTTGGAACCATCCTAACAGCCAGTGGTCATGTGAATGACCGTTGATTTCGTCAGTATCCTCCAATTGACAACACCAATGACGATGAAGGAGCAGTCAGCTTAGATGTGACAGCGCTTCGTATTAGCATACCAATCAACGACTGTTTATCGTTTCTGTCCTCTATGTTGTGCGATGATACACCTCTAGCCCAGGGAACAACCTTAACACCTGTAGATATCATTATGGGTGATCAAGTGTGTCTAAGCACCACGTATTCCACCTTTCAAAACACGCTCTACAGACAGACTGACGGTGTCACTATAGTCTCTCCCGTATCACCCGACCAATTCCACCTTCAAAACACGCTCTACAGACAGACTGACGGTGTCACTATAGTCTCTCCCGTATCACCCGTAGCGGCTAATCTGTTCCCACGCAATGTTGAGACTAAGGCCTTTCGTGACTTCGCCCATCTACCACGCACCTGGCTGAGCTACACTGACGACATACTTGCGATCATACCAGCGACACAAAGCAGCAAGCCCTTCCAAACTGCTCGAATGAACAATGCAGTATCATGCAGTTCACGATTGAAACAGAGAACAAATAGAGGACCATTGGTCTCCTGGACTACATTCTTTCGGTCAACCACAAAAACCTACACCTGCAGACAGGTATTCGCCCTAGAACACTTCGCATCCACACTACGTCAAACGCGCGGTTGTTGGAGCGATGACCAAACGTATCAAGAAACTATGCTCGGAGAAGTACATACGAACGGGCGAACTGACGCGACTCAGCGAAATAAATACCACCTGAGGCTCATTACCCAACAAATGGGAAGAACGTTACTCGGAACGGTGAGACAGCAACACAAAGAAAACCGCTGACCGTTCGGGTAAAAACCCTATTGAGTTGGCACTTCAGACGCCGTTTAAAAAGTACTTCATGAGTATGATGTTAAAAGATTCTTCCGAATTGACAACACCTTACAACGGCACCCAATCGAACTGAAACACCGCAAAAACTGCGTCTACCCTGTGTAGAATGTCCACCCAAATACATGGACCAGACAGCTAGGCAACTCCATGTACGGACCATGGAACACAAACGACATGCGCGTTTTCCTCCAAGAAACCCAAAACGCGATTCATTCAACCCACTCCACGTGTTTCAGCCAAACTATCAAACCACTATCGATGGTACACGTATACTGCAAACAGGATTCGAGTCACACGGGGAACGAACGTGCACTGAGGCTCTAGAGATCAACACAGCCGAAGTGATCAACCAGAGTGATCACGCCAGCATCCTTTCCATCTGGATCGAAATACACGCACAACTTCGCAGGCATAGTAACCAGATGTCGAGCAGGGATCACAAAAATGACGCATCTCAGCCAGCACAACAACCAACGGAGACATCCTAATCAAAGTACCCAAAACGCGATTCAACCACTGCACTCCACGTGTTTCAGCCAAACTATCAAACCACTATCGATGGTACACGTATACTGCAAACAGGATTCGAGTCACACGTGGAACGAACGTGCACTGAGGCTCTAGAGATCAACACAGCCGAATTGATCAACCAGAGTGATCACGCCAGCATCCTTTCCATCTGGATCGAAACACACGCACAACTTCGCAGGCATAGTAACCAGATGTCGAGCAGGGATCACAAAAATGACGCATCTCAGCCAGCACAACAACCAACGGAGACATCCTAATCAAAGTACACACACACAATCGCGCACACAATCACACACACACACCCACGCATGCTGGCCGAGCCTGAATGCCAACTAATCACAGCAGTGCACGAATCAGATTCATTGATTCCAATCATCTCTCGCTCAAATCCAAGCGAATGTTACAAAGCGACTCCACAAATTCCGCAACAGATCTCACCTTTTCAAAAGACGCAAAGCGAAATTCCACGAACAACACATACTACTCGCGTGCCTCTCTATCAGTAGTATCACTGTTACAACGGAAGTGGGCCCAAAATCGCTGCATTTGACTCGTGATTCTACCGTGTTTTTGCTATGAAAAACTTCATATTATATACACAACAAGGTTCTCGGTCTTATTAACACTCTTCCAACCGTAACTGCTAAAACTCTGCTTCTTGTCCCTATCTTTCGTTCGTACAGGAGGGTCTCGTGGACTGCCTCATAGACCCTCTGAATAAAATCACAGATGACCTAACGCTGAGATAAATAGAAAGTCTTTCAGCTTTCGCTATGTGTTTGCAGATACCATGACATATCGTTGGTCAACACGTTACCAGTGGCTGTTGTGCCATCAATTTACGACTTCAGTGGTCCGTTCAAATTGCTCCATCCAAACAAATATGTTTTCTAGTATACGGAACACCACGAAAGAGATTAGCTTTTTGATTGTTTTGCGGACCATAGCAAACTGTATGCTGAGTTAAGAAAACCGAAGTATACCCCGCTCAGAATTAGCTTACATCCACCGAGATTTTTGGTTTCATTGTACACTGTGAGTGAGCCATCGAGCATATCACACAATGAACTTGTTCCAGTCTATTTAGGTTCACTGAGCTTTCAATACAGATCACTTTTACGTCTTCGTTCTAAAGGCATTTTGCATGTTACTTTAGGGGTTTTATATTCTACCTTTTACTTGGTAAACTTTTACTAGACTGCGGTCGCCAATTTTCTAATCGATTCCAGGCAAAATATAATACGTTTATCGATGGTGTTAGTAAGCCATCGAATTTTCCTGATATGACAGAATAAAACTGATTTGCGACTAATTTAGCCGACAAAACCGACGTTCATCATGATATACTGATGGTAAACCTGGCTTGTAATCCGATAGGCCGGTGGAGAGCCTCGCGTAATAAAAATACCGATCTATCAACTTTCTTTTTAAAGGATAAACACCGTTAAACTTGCAAGTGGCATTATCTAAAATGACGCCAGAACCAACCTTCAGCATTATCAGTAACTAAGTTGCACATGTAAATAACTCTACGAGGCGTTCAGACTTTAATATAAAGTGTAATCATACAAACATTAAGGTTGCATAGGCGTTCTCATTTTTACAGTGATAATAGTTACGTTACCTCAGTTGGAGAAAGTTCCTGTCAGATGCGCGATGTGGATCGCTTACTACTCGCTATGATATGATAAGCGTGAGGGCGCTTCAGAGGTGGCGTGAACCATTTTTGATTTATAAAATACAAGACTTTACTGTTGTGAGGGATCACTGAAAAATACTGGACGGGCCAATACAAATAGCAGAGCCTCACAGTTTTTGCTCGTCATATCAGTAGTTTTCTGTCGCTAACTCAGTAGGATTCAGTGTAAAAAAAAGCGTGTTTAACTGCAAAAGTTACCGAATGAAATTCCTATAAATATGTTCTGCCGCGTCGTGTCGACAGGCGAAACTAGAAACGCAAACGTCCAATAGGTATCTGTCAGTGGATGTTTTGCCTTGACTTAGTCTTTCAGGAAATTGTTGAATTTTGATAATATCATGCTTACCAAGCATCATTTTAGCGTGTTTACTGCAAAAGTTACCGAATGAAATTCCTATAAATATGTTCTGCCGCGTCGTGTCGACAGGCGAAACTAGAAACGCAAACGTCCAATAGGTATCTGTCAGTGGATGTTTTGCCTTGACTTAGTCTTTCAGGAAATTGTTGAATTTTGATAATATCATGCTTACCAAGCATCATTTTATTCTATCAAGTGGAAAAGGTTTGGAACCGACTGAGAAGTCATCGTTTCGGAAGAGATTGATAAACAATCGTTAGATTTTTGNCCTTTCGCTTTTGACACAAAAGCTTCATCAGGACAAGTGAGCAGGTCACTTAGTTTGACAGGTTATAAGGCAGACGGGGAACTAATCCATGTTGAGGTTTTGAGGCGAGGACCACGGTCCACGTCACACAGACTGATCGCCGAGGCGGTAGAAATCGTCAAGCATCCCAGTGTTAACAGTATAGGTGTGGAACTGGCAAGCGTGTGGAGAACGGTTCTGGATCAGTCGAGCAGACACGTGTTGGTGTGCGGTCATCAGAAGGAAGAGTGGTCATCACCTGAATTCCACTTGACCGCAAATCCCCCCAAACTAAATTGTCGGAGCACTCACGACCACGCAAAGACCAGGGAAAATCTACCAGTGACAACCGAGATGAATCATCAAGTGAAGCACTTTGAAGTGAAGATCAACAAACCAAACCCGATACGAATTAATTTGAACCCATCAATCCACCTAAGCAAGATTTTGACAATTAGCGAATATACACTCATTTGCAAACTAATTTGGTTCTTTCGAGATACTCACCTGAAACCCAGCTGAATCTCTCGTTTATGATGTTCTCAGGCAACTGAATGTGCTGCACCAGGCCGCCTCATGTTTCAGTCACTGCGATATTTGAAATATCGCGACACATGTATATCTTTGTAATGTACTACTCATAAGGTCGATGGATTTTCAGCAAACTTATGGGTAGTACATTACAAAGATTTCGACAACTTCACTAACTGACAAAAGCCCTTAATTGACACTCAATATTGTGATGATCTGAAGAGGACTGACTTATTAATTGGTTCCTTGTCTGCCTTATAACCTGGCCTGTTTGGTGACCTACTCACTTGGCCTGATGAAGCATTCGTGTCAAAAGCGAAACGTCGCCCAAATAAAATCTAACGATTGTTTATCAAGCTCTTCTGAAACGGTCATTTTATTCTGTTACATACTGTATCGTGTCCGGAGTCAAAGCAATGAGAGTGTCAAATATCATTTTAAAAATTTGTGAGGAACTTTAATTAGTTTCATAGGATGAGATTGGCTTCGTCAACGAGTGGAGTAATGATTTTGGGTTGGCTTGTAAAAGAAACATCGCACTGAAAATTACACCGATCACCACAGGTCAGAATACTTGCAAATCACTCTCAATCCCAACAGGTGAAGGTGAACAATCGTCAGTCAACCTGTAAGTAACCAACAACGAGAAGACTAATCTTTTGCACAAATATGCATCATTACTTCACACTATCATTCCAACTGACAGAAATGTATCCTAAATGTCAAATACAACTGAATGGTTAGTCTAACGTCAGCAATAAAAATATTTCCATCCATTCATTGCCAGATTATTTGTGTGTTTCTGCCACTGTTTAGAAGGTCAGCAACGCGTAAACTGCCGTCGAATTCGTCTGCTTGCTGTGACGTTAAGGAACTATTTGATTAGTGCTGAAGCAGAGGTAAGTTGTACGAATTCAAGTGGATTTACAGTAAAACATTCGAACTAAATAGTGCAGCTGCTAACCAGTCGGATCACAAATGCTGGCAGGACCCAGCATGACAATTCCACATAAACAATGAATGGGTCGTGGGGGACAGATAAACCAATCACGAATGCTTTGCAACGCAAAAAGCCAAGAGCGGTTCTGAACCAAATAACCGGGTGAATCTCATTTGACACAAGGGAAGCAGCATCCTAGAGATTAAATTTATGTAGGCGACTACGAAGATCATCATGAAGCAATCCAATGATAATGACAGTCGCACTTAAACTCCAATGTATACGCCAGGACTGAGAACGGTGGAGGTGGAATGCTTCCACAATTCTGGCTGATTCGTGCTTACTGGTGGCCGGATGTATAACCGAGAAAGATATTGGCATGGGTCGCCTTGCGGTGTCAGCATGGATGTTTTACAGTGTAACCTGGTGCTAAGGGATGACTGGGGACCGCCGTCATTAATTTGTGGACATGCATGGTGAATTAACAACAGATTTACCAATTCAACGATTAGATCTTGAACTCTCAGATGAACAGTATCCGGTGCAATGTGGTCCAGCAAGCCATAATGGAACACGGGCCAAAATTATTGAAAATTTTGCAAACAGCGAGAAACCAGCTTGTTAATTATGCGAATAAAGTATTCAGCTAAACCCGTTTTAAGATTAATGGCCAAAAAGTTTCCACTTAATGAGTGTTCTTTGCTTATTATTTGGTAGTTACCTATAGG